TTTTTTTTTTTCCAAGACGACAGAGTAACTATTATATAACTCAAGGGGACAAAGTCCGAATACACTGTTCAGAATACAGGTAGATCGAAACCGAAATAAAAAACTGGGAGACACACCCAAGGGTGGCCTAGAGCCTCAACAAGAGGAAACCAACTATCACAAAACAATAATAACAAATAGAATCAGTCCCATCTACTGCTAAAAGCCTAGAGGAAAACTGATTCTAACGACTAGCTAGGATACAAAAGCAAAACAAAAACAGAAACTAAATAGAAATGTGGGAAGATGAGAACTGGAGCCATTCCGAGTGAGCTATTTTCAATAACTGGGTTTCAGGCATGAGACTGTTTTGGAAGATCCACAAGTTCCTTGATTTCCAAAGCCACCAAAGGATGTAAGTTGATAGTTGTATCCTATCTTCGGTTGCCTTGGTGTGATCAAGAGAACAGATGTCCAACCACCAATATCTGAACTTGTTCCTGCTGCCTTTGATGCCTTCCCATCTAACAGGAGAAAGGTCCCATGTTTTGCAGGCTCTAGGGCAAGTTAGAAGGATATGCTCAATGGTTTCAGCTGATTCTCCACAGATGCTGCAGATAGCTTCAATGTCAACTTTTTTCTTTCTCAGTGAAACTGCCACTGGTAGTGTGTCAGTGATACATTTCCATAAGAAGTGCTTAATCCTCCCAGCTACCTTGAGTTTCCAATGCCTAAAATGAACAGATTTGGGGATGAGCTGATGTGAACTGCTCTCTGGAATATCCAGCTGCCTTAGCTTGAGATTGGAGAGGGATTTGTAGGTGCTTGAAACTGAGAATTGACCTTTAGCTTCTAGTCCCCAATGAAGTCTATCCTCTCTGTCTGGGTGAAGGGTGGAGATGTTCAAGATTGCAGCACTTTCATTGGGGTCAAACACTTGTCTCACTAACCATTCATTCCAGGAATGTCCATTGGAATTAAGTAGCTCATGAACCCAAATAAGATGACCTCTGGCTATTGGGATTAAAGAAGGAGAGGTGTGTGGCAAATATATAAATAATACTTATGATTTTACTTATTATTTTTAAAATTGGCTCGGAATTGAACCGAGTGGACTGCAAGCCAATTTATGGATTTGTTCGGTTCGCTTGATTAAAATGTTTGTGAACCGATTAACACTATTCGCTCGAACTGATGGGATTTATACGATTTTGAAATAAATTTTGTAACATATAAAATTATTTTAAATATTAATAAAAATACATATTTAAATAAGATGAATATAAATTAATATTATTAAATTAAAACCTGATTCATTCAATAATATATTAAATAAATAACCTCATTGGTTCGATGATAGTACAGTTTTGAGAAACTTTGACATATCATACAATAATAAAAGTTGTAATGGAATATTATTTAGTTTACATAAATATTAATAAAATGATATATAATATTCATAAATCATTGAAAGTAGCAGAAAAACCATCCCTGAACAACTTAGAAACTGAAATCAAATTATTTCTAAAACTAGGAACGTAAAGATAATCCTTCAAAACTAAAACCGTATCTAATCAAAAGCTTATATAGATGTCTCTCACTACAACAGCTGATGTCTGCTAGCATTGCCCATGAAGACGGTAATCTCCCCTTCCATAAGTCGCTTGAATTCCTGGAAACCCTGCAATGAGTTGCAGACATGATCGGTGACTCATGTATCTAGGCACCAGGTTCTGGTAGATAACACCGCAAAATATGTTTCAAATTTTTTACATCCATCGCCCTTCTTGAGGAGAGGGCAGTCGGCCTTCCAGTGTTCTTTATGCTGGCATTTGTGGCATTTGTTTTTCGACTTCTTTGC